CTGGGTTTGTCCATATTTTACCCAGCGCTGGGTTGTATTTAACCCAGCATTTTTTAGAGTGCATGTTTTTACAATGCACTTATATTTTAAAGTTGCTGTATGTAGGATTGACACCGAGTGGTTGAACTAGGTATTGCAGTCCAAATTCTAAATATTGGAGAGGGTTTTTTTCACCCGGCCCCTCCTCCTCAGACTTGACGCACATGCAGGTTGCCAGATTGACGACACCAACAGGAACGAACACGCATGACGATGAATGAAATGAAATAGGCTGTTTTCCGAAAACTGACAACCCGGGGTGACGAAATACAATTGGGTAAACTGGCAGTGGGCGGGTTGATTGTTCCACACTTAAAACTACCCATACCACCAAACCTGTTTCTAACCTTACTTGTATCCCACCTTAATAGCAGCAAAAATGTTTTGAGTTGCACTTTATTTTACAGTACGTGTACTTACTTGTACTTACAGTGTACTTACAGTATACTTACCTAAGAAAGTACTGGTAATATAAGGTAACTACATGGGGTAGGGTTAGGTTTAGGGGTAGGTTCAGGGTTAGTACCTAGTTATTACCTAGTTATTGTAATTATTATAATAAGTACATAGTATGTACATGAGTAACAGGACTGTAAAATAAAGTGCTACCACGTTTTGCAATACAATATTAACACAATAAGTACATTGTACTTATTTTTGATATAAGTACAAGGCCTCCTAATATAAAGTGGGACCGCAAACACTTTTGGCAATGTTGACCTCATTCACACTCAAGCACAGAATAAATAATTAATTAATTCATTGAAAAAAAAAAGTTAAATGTACAGATCACCAGGAGAACATCTGAACTTGGGATTAAACCTAAAAACTCATACAGTATATTCATATCTATACCATCATGTGACCCCACTCTACTTAATGATTTTACTGTGCAGGTTAGGCCTATCATACAAACAATGGTTAAACACTAGCTACATTAATACAGAGATGCATGGCTACAATCGTTGTGATTAATAATTTAGCATTTCTTCTCAATTTTGCAAGTAGTATAGCTGTTTGCACTGAGCCAAGCAAAGTTCAGCAAACTGTTCCTCTGAGGTTTGGTTTGCAGTGAGAAACAATGTGTGTTTTCCAGTTCCAACCAAATAAGAGTCATATATTATCACCATATTTTACATCACCTCATGGCCTTCATTACTCGGCTTCAGTGTGGGCATTGCACTTTCATACTTATCGGATTTAAAATCCATGGTACTCCAATCATATTATTATCGTACTATTTTTCAGTTCTGTTAGTGGAGACATTGTTTTTTCATCTGTCATGTTACCACATGACACACTGCCGTCTTCTTCCTTACTTGTTTGTTTTTGCTCCTGTTGCCCTGGGTGAATGTGTTTCCATGACGATCAACTTAAACAAACTGTATACAGGTGGTAAAGTGCTCAGCAAACAACTGCTATACACAAAGTGCCTCCTAAAACACAAAACAATAGACACCTGATCTACAGTGTTTCTCATGGAGCTACTGCAGGCTATCAGGTTCAGCTACGAGGCCATTCCTCCTCCTCATGCCGGAGGAGAAGTTCTGTCAGCTCAGATTTTGCAGACGAGGAAATGTCAGACTACTGAGGGCCACAATGGTGCTGAAATTAGCTGGCTGTATGCTACCCCGCTCACTCAAACGTTTGCTTGTAGTTTCAGGTGAGCTTCGACTCCAGCACCTCATTTGAAATCTCTTTCTAAGTCCCGACAGTATATCTCTCTCAAAATTTGCAATTATTTTGAAGATGAAGCTGTAACATGCATTAGACTGCTTTGCTTCTCATGTCCCAAGGAAGTTCTGCCCACAGGAAAAAAGAAAATTGACTGTAAAAGACTCAAGCACTCAAGCAAAATGGTCAGGATTTGGGGAAAAAATATTCTTTTGCATCATAAGTTTGTGATCAATTCTGACCTCGGTTGTTTTTAGAAATCAGAAGAAAATGATATTTCATAAAGTGCCCTCAGTGGTTGAAGTGAGGGGGCTATTTATAGTGGATCACACATCCTGTGTGGCTGTCAAGATGATAGTTTCCCATTGTTCTGAGCTTTAAAAGGTCACACATAAATAAAAGATGATAGGATTTTCCTGGGTTTAGTACCTCATAGGTTAAATAAATGAAATAAATGATATTGTTCAGTTATGCAAGTAATCAATGCATACATTTTAGCATTGCGCTAAAGTGTATAAAACCAGAAAGCTATGATTAATAAATGTTTTTCTTACAGAAACTGCACTGAACATGTGGAACTTAAACCTAGATTTTTGAAACGTCTTTTCTCTGAGCTATGTTGCTTTCATCTGGTTTTTAGCAGTCCTGCCCCTTATTGCCACCATTGCAGAAGAACCTCCAGCAAACTGTATCGGCTCATAATCAGCACACATCAGCGTCTTCAAAACTGCCTACTAAAATAAAACCTTCACTGCATAGTCTATATCAGTCAAAGTGTTCAGCATCTGTTATAAATAGTTTAATAATGAAAAATGATTCCTATATGAATATCAACAAAACCCCTTTTTATGTTTTTCAGTTAATATTTGGAGATATTTTGTTAAAGGAAAGCATTTTTTGCATGGTTACATTGTCTCTTTGTTTGTGCACAGGCCCGGTTCTCCTACCTACACATGAAGTACCTGTTTTTTTCCTGGTTGGCTGTTTTCGTGGGAAGCTGGGTGGTGTACGTGGAATACTCTTCATACACAGAGCTGTGCCGTGGACATGAGTGCAAGAACTCTATTGTGAGTTTTAAGTTCTTAGCTAGATGTTAAGTATTTGTTGAACAAAATAGCACAAAATGTTGATGCTGATTCGATGCTGTGTAAATATATTTGATTTTTAAAGAGGAAAAAATGTACTTGGTGCATCTCTACAGCTGTTGGATGCTTTTTGCAAACATTATTTACTAAAGGGAGCCATCTAGAGGAGAGTGATTACATAAGAGACACTGACTAAAGAAATGGATCAGGCAATCTTTGGGGAGTACTGTGTCATGGAATAAAATGAATAATGCAGAGTAGACTCTGACGTATGTGTTTCTTCATGTCTTCCAGTGCGATAAATTCCAGAAGGGGGTGATCGATGGTTCAGCCTGCAACAGCTTGTGCGAGAAGGACACTCTTTATTTGGGAAAGTGTCTCTCTGCCAAACCCAGCAATCAGGTCAGACACAACAGTTTGCAGTTGCTCCTTAATATAACACTGTAATACTTGTTTGAAAATGTCTACAATGTCTACTGAACCATGCTTTTGCTTATCTGGGTCTGCACATACATTTATTTGCATGCAGAGTAAGGATAGTAAGGATGAATAAAATTCATCCGCTCTCTCTTTCTTGCTACTTTCTTTGTTTAGGTATATTCTGGCAGTTGGGGGGATATGGAAGGAATCATAAAGTGCCAGATGGAGGAGGACCCTCATTACGATTTGGGTATACAACTGGAGCCCCGAAAAGAATCGGCCTCCTTTAACAGGCCAACCAAAGGGACATCAATGGAGAAGTTCAAAGAGATGGTCTTCAGCCATCTAAAGGTCTCAAATCCCAAGCCATCTAAGCCATCTAAAGGTCTCAAATCCCATGCTGTACTGAAATACAATATTGCTTTAACGTTATAAAACAGCGCTAACAGCGCTTTTAACATTTACATTTACATTTAGTCATTTTGCAGACGCTTTTATCCAAAGCGACTTACAATTGGGGAATACATAAAGCGATTCTACTTAAAGAGGCAAACAGACACAGGAAGTGCTAGAGATGAGTTTTCAGCTGTCGCTTGAAAATTGTCAGGGATTCAGCATTCCGGATAGGTGTGGGAAGATTATTCCACCAGCCAGGAATGGTGAACGAGAATGTTCTGGAAAGTGATTTTGAGCCTCTCTGTGATGGTACCATGAGGCGTCGCTCCCTCGTAGATCTCAGACTTCTGGAGGGGATGTCAATTCGTAATAGTGAGCTTAAGTAGGCGGGTGCTGAGCCTGTGGCTGTTCTATATGCAAGCATCAATGTCTTGAACTTGATGCGAGCCGCAACCGGTAGCCAATGCAAGGAGATAAAGAGAAGTGTAACAATGCTGTAGAGTTGGAGTGGCAAGGAAGACAAGAAGCTCAGTCTTTGACAGGTTGAGCTGTAGGTGATGTTCTTTCATCCATTGCCGAGATGTCCACCAGGCAGCCTGAGATCCGTGCAGCTACCGTTGGATCATCTGGTTGAAATGAGAGATAGAGCTGTGTGTCATCAGCATAGCAATGGGAGGAGAAGCCAAGTATGATGGGACCCAGTGATGTAGTGTATATGGAGAAGAGGAGGGGTCCAAGAACTGATCCCTGAGGAACGCCAGTGACCAGTTAATGTGCTTTGGATACCTCCCCTCCCCAGGCCGATGATTGTAAAGCGCTTTGGGTGTACAGCAATACACATCATTCATTCATTCATTCATTCATGAGAGGGCGGACAGGAGGATCTTATGATTGACAGTGTCAAAAGCAGCAGATAGATCCAGCAGAATAAGAACTGAGTGTGCTCAGCCCAGCTCCTGGCAGGTTTTGTTATAACTTTGCAATTTTAATGATCTATTAGGCTGCAGGAATGTTTAAACATATTCTGTGGCATATTGCAAATCTTTGGGGCCGTGATGATCATGCAAATGCATTCTATTAAATATAATTATTAAATCATCTGCTTTTCCAATGCTGAAATATTTTCTGTTTGCGGTGGGCTACAGGGTCTTAGCATTGGAGATTTACATTTTTGTCTAGTAAATATTTGATTGTGACATTAATATTATAAATAATAATAATATAAAATAAAATAGAACATTAGTAGTATTAAATAAATATTTGAAATTTGAATAAAGTAATTTTAATTTTAAAATTAAAAAAATGTTAAAACCTCTGCACTAGTGTATGTATGTGAGCTGACGACCTAAGGTCTGAAGCTGTTAAAAATTATGTTTACACTTTTAACCCCCTTTAACCCTTTTTAAATGGTGAATTTATGTAAAACATGCATTACTTATTCTCCATGAACTAGGCATGAAGAGAGTTATTTTCATAGCCTGGAAGACCTTTTATATACAGAGACATCTCTTCAACTATTATTAACTCATTACAATGGCACTTTTCCCCCTTGCAGGCAAAAGTGGGAGACCAAGCCAACTTAGCAGATTTGGTAACCCTTGTGCTTGGAGTTGCAGACAGCAACAAGGATGGCCAGATCTCCCTGTCAGAAGCACATTCAGCTTGGGCTTTACTGCAGCTGAATGAATTCCTGCTGTCCATCGTGCTGCAGGAGCGAGAGCACACTCCCAGACTGCTGGGCTTCTGTGGGGACTTGTATGTGATGGAGAAGGTGCCTTACGTACCACTCTATGGCGTCAGCCTTCCATGGATGGTAGAGCTGTGGATTCCAGCCAGCCTGCGACGGAGCATCGACCAGTGGGCCGCCCCATCCTGGCCTCGCAAGGCTAAGATAGCCATCGGTCTGTTTGAGCTCGTTGAGGACCTCTTCCACGGCACATTTGGAAGTTTCCTCATGTGCGACGTAAGTGCCGCGGGGTTTGGTTATACAGAGCGCCACGATATAAAGGTAGTAGATGCAAGGCGTATTGTTCCCGAAGCTGCTTTTCAGGAAGTGATGCGTGAAAGGAGGTGCGAAGAGGACAGTGACTGTATGTACGGCCGGGACTGCCTCACTTCCTGTGATCTCACTAAGCACCGCTGCACTACGGAGGTCACACAGCCTAATCTGGCGAAAGTATGTAGCACACTGAAGGACTATCTTCTGTATGGTGCACCATCAGACATTAAAGACGAACTGGAGAAACAGTTGTATGCCTGCATTGCTCTCAAAGGCGCCAGCGAACAGATGGAAATGGAACATTCCTTGATTCTCAACAACCTCAAAACTCTGCTTTGGAAGAAGATATCTCACACGAAGGACTCATAATGATATATAGAACTAAGTTATTGTTCGTATACAGAACACAAGAGATATGAACAAGAGACTGGTATTGGACCATCCATGATATGCCTAATATTACGTATTTTTATTTTTGGCCTGCATTTGCAGAGTACTGTCAATATAGCCTTTGTGGCACCTTGTTTTGTTACATTACCTAATCTTGACTCAGTCCCAAATTATAAAAGCTTAGGCTGCAGAGAGATACTGCCTCTGCTAATGCATGTCCTCCACTGCCAAATTTTAAATCTTCCTGCGGATTCTTGTTCAGGAAACTGAGACAATCAGGCTGTATCTAGTCCAGAGGTTTTCAAACTGAGACACAGAGGACCCCTATTTGACAGAATACATTTTTTTTACAAAATGTATTTTTAGGGCAGTCTAAAGACAACATAAATGTAGAAATAAGTTAAACAATTTTTAAATTTGATTTTTAATTCATTTTTTATGATTTCTAAAGATTGGTGAGAAATGATAAAATTATTTTATTGTACTCACAGTCCAGGTTTTAAATCTGACTTTTAGTTTAAAGGTGTATACATATATTATTACTATTCGGTAGAGAAAAAGAAATGGTCTGAACCTAATACAAAGTAAATACTGTAAATATAATCTTTTAATAATTAGCTTTGGCTTTAGTACAGTGATACATTTTCTTTATACATGAAAATACACATGCCATTTTGACAGGGATAATTTAGGAATCACTTGGCATCAGAAATTTTGAAAACCTCTGCTCTAGTCTGCAGATGATATACAATCCAGATTTCAGAACACTTCAATCTTTTCTGTTGAACTACAAAGGATCTGAAAATTATTTGCATGAATTATAATTTTCAGACTGAACACTGTTACTCAATACAATAGGTTAGAACAATTATGCTGCCAATTTTGTCAGTCAAACTACCACAAACAAGTCATTTTAATGATTCATGTTCTAAAGAGACACGTGCATAAAAGTTTAAATGCTACTTTTTCAGTTAATGTCATGCAAGTGCTTAGTTTTTACATTTAATCTTTGTTTTGAATGCATTGGTATATACACTTATACCCTTAAGTTAGGACTCAGGGCCCTTTACAACATTTAAAAGTATATTTTGAACTTCAAGTCTGACTGTTTTTGGTTTATTCACTCATTCAAAGTGTTGATTGAAGTATTGTGGACAGAAAGAAAAGATTATGCCATTGTTTAATTCTGTAAATTCTAATGGTTTACCTAAAGTCACACAGATGCTACGACAAAGAAATATGCATAAATCATCCTAAACATTTCCAAATCATGCACAGCCTCCCAACTCAATGTGACAAGCAATCACAGACACAAGAGTCTTTTTTGATATTTATTAGAACAAATGAATTTTGCACAAATGAGAAAAGCAAGATCGAGCTCTAGTCCTCCTCTGCAGCTTGAGCCCGAAGGAAGCTGGCCTTCTTCTGGGCAACACGGTCTTTTCTCTGAGCCAGTGTGAGCTTGGCACGGTTCCATCTAGAAAGAGAACCACTCAATTTCAGCAAACAAGTAGCAAGAAATTTCTCCCAGGACTTTTAACTATAGCATTTCCTTTCAATGAAACAATCATTTAGTATGTGAGACTACCCATGTTTTCCCTGAAAAAACAAGCATTAGTCAAGTTTATTGATTTATTTAGTCTCAAGCATAATTCATTGTTTTCTGCAGTCTAGCTGACATAGATGTATGCCTGTTCTAAAAAAAAAAAAAAAAAAAAAAAAAAAAACTCCACAGTAGACAAGTTTAAAACAAAACCTCCTCTAATGGGTCTTCTGACACTAAATGCCCAACAATTAACCAAAGCTGCTCTAAGACCCGTCTTGAAAAAAGTTTGCATCAACTGTACAAATGAAAGACCAACTACAATTTGCAAGGTGTCATCATCAAGCAGCAGAATAGTTATTGTGGACATCAAATGTCAGTTCTAAATGGTTGAAATGTCAAAATAACTTAAAGGAGCAAAAACAACATGCCTCTGAGTATGTAATACAATCACGATCACCACCAGAGAGTACAAGACATGGAGAAACCAAAGGACAGATAGATACCTCTTCTTCTTGACTTCCCGCTTGGGCTTCTTTTCGTGCACTGGGTTCTCCCGCATGGCTGCGTGTGCCTTTTTGTACATTTCCTCCATCTGAGGAAGAGATTAATAACATTACTAGTTGTAACCGTTATATAGCAGCCAGCTTTATTGTAATAGACAATGTTATTGAAATATTTAACTGCCAAGTATTTTGAAACTGAAACTCATGAATATTTGCAATTCTTAAGAGATACTCCACCCAAAAAGTGTGGTCTGCGAGAGGAAAAACACCAATATTTTAAACTATAAGCCATTGATTTCAGTCAACTGTCATATGAGTTTATGCTTTATGTAAACATCAACACGTTGTTGATGAATGATGCAAGCACATTGTGAAACATGCATGAGAAGTGACATCCTGCATCACTACTTGCGTGAGCTTTAGAATGCGTTTGCCACATGTACAAAAGCAGGCCGGAACTAGAGCTGCACGATAAATCGCGATTAGGCAAAAGCTGCGATTGTCATGCGCATCTCGTCAGTGAAGTACGGTTCAGTGATCAGTAATAAATCTCCAACCGAAGGCCAGAGGACGCTCTCGCACGGAAACTCCAAATACGCCCCGCAGAAGAAATCCAGGAAATCCCTATAGCAGTTGCTGAATAAACAGAAGATTCAAATGCTTTCATTGATTCAGCGTGACTAAGAACTCTGATAAATCATATATCATTATAGTCCTGTGTTTATTAAAGTAAAACAAGTACTTCAAGTATATAATAATGCAATGCTAATTGACACAGCCTTTATCACCGCTTAGAAAACTATGAAATATGTTGCACGCCTTATTCTGCGTAAGTCAAATCATCTCACAGAAGGATTTATTTCAAACACTTTATGTTATGAAGTGAGTTTGGAGTAAAAACATGTTATTAAATGTGGTATTTTCAAGTGCTTTCAGATGGAGCAACATTTACTACACAGAGCCATAGTTCACGGAGAAGCTACACAAACAGCTTTCATTATCGCGAACGATTTAATAATCGCACAATTATATCGTCTGTGATTTTTTTGCGTAGCTTGTCAGTGAACTAAACTGTGTAGCAAATGCTGCTCCATCTGAAATCTGAAAACAAGTGATGGAGATTTACTACCGATTACAGAACTGGCTTTACTGACAAGATGCGCACGACAAACGCATTCGATTAATCGTGCAGCCCTAGTCGGAAGAGATGGTTTATAATTCAAGCAAGCTCAAAGTAATAGCATTTTCCTTACACCAATCATTTCACTTCATACTGATGGTAAAACCATCATTACGGTCCTGTTCGTTTGGTTTTTGAAGATTCCACAGTGAGGGTTCCATCTATTTGCATTACATGGAGATGATTTATTTTTCTAAAAATCTTTGTGTTCAACAGAAGAAAGCCATACACATCTAGGATGGCATGAGAGTGAGTAAATGAGAATTTTCGTTTTTAGGTTGAGTATCTCTAAGATTCAACAGATCTTTCAACAATTTAAGTATCAAACATCTATTAAAGGGAAAAAAAGCCCAGCACATACGGAATCAGGGGTAACGCCGTTCTTGATGAAGCGAGAGAACTGTTTCTTGTAGGCTTCCTCATCCTCCTCCATCAAGTATCTCATGTATTCAGAGACATTCAGGCCCAGGATGTGCTTGCGGTGAACCTCTGCATTGAACTCCTTGCTCTCAGTGTCATAGCCAGGGAAACGCTTGGTGCTAAGACAAAGATTAAAAACTCATATGCTGGATATACTAGATTCCAATTACACTGGGCATTAATGAACAGAGCTCATGCACATTTTGGTGCTTCCTATGTAAACAAATCTCAAAATCAGTCCCGTCTTGAAAATCACATCAACTGAGCAACAAACAAGCTGCTCAGTTTCAAATGGTGTCATCATCAAGAAGACAGAATATGAAATGGGAAAACCAAGAACAAACTGCTCACACCCAATTTTTCAAGACTATTCAGAAATAAACAGTAAGAGGGAAGATCAACCTGTGAGGAATGGAGAGACCTCCATCCACCGCTCCCTTCAGGGCACCGAACACCTTGTTGCCAGTGGTGGTTCTGGCCAGGCCTGCATCCAGGTAGCAGGTGAAAGCTCCTGGCTGCCCATCAATGCTCTCCACATTAAACTCATCCCCAGTGATCTCCACCTGGCCCTCGTACACCTTGTCAAGGCCAAATTTGTTCAGCAGCTGGAAGAGAGCACATAGTGGACCAGTTATAACCAGTCGTTTGTCTTTGTATCAATTATCCTGGATTAATTCAAGCCTTAAACTGCTAAGGGATCCGTTTACTCCTGGTATTAACAGTTACGGATGATTGGATTGTAAGAGGACAGCACTCAATATAAGTGTAAATGAGCTGCAAAACATTTTGTGATCACTCAAGCTACATTTGGAGGTAGTTAAAACCACGCGACCAAATTCTATTTGTATATCAAAGCTAATGTGTCCCGAACAGCTCTGCACAACAGCAAAGGACTATCTACTTATCTAACACACAATCATGGTGCCGGTGCAAAGGTTTTAAACTTTGCCTGACATAAATAAAAAAAATGTAAAATAATTTTTTTAAAAGCCAACACGAATACTTGCAAAAGAACTCACTCTTCAGCATGTATGACAACATGCAGTGAGAAAGATCACATGATGCAAACACATCTAAAGTTCAGGTTGTACCGCACAGAGCATCTCGGTTGAAACTCCATTATTTGTAAAATAGTTAGGAAGTCAGCCCATTGAAGATATGCATATCACAAGCGGTCACCGGAAGACCATTCCAGTTGTAAAAGGCTAAATGTACCCATTTACAAACACAGATTCTCACATCAAGTAACATTCCTTATTGCGTGTGGTGCTGCTGACATAGAACACGCATGCGCTGTGCCTTGTTTACAAGCAGAGGAATGCACATGTATGTGTCGTGGTACTCTCATGAATGGCGGCGGACAGTGACGCGGAGGAGAAGAGTTGTTGAATAAAGTCTTTTTTTTTTTTTTTGTGCACAAAAAGAACTCGCAGCTTCGTAAAATTACGGCTTAACCACTGTCACATGGACTATTTTACCGATGTCCTCCTCCATCAAGTATCTCATGTATTCAGAGACATTCAGGCCCAGGATGTGCTTGCGGTGAACCTCTGCATTGAACTCCTTGCTCTCAGTGTCATAGCCAGGGAAACGCTTGGTGCTAAGACAAAGATTAAAAACTCATATGCTGGATATACTAGATTCCAATTACACTGGGCATTAATGAACAGAGCTCATGCACATT